AGTTGGATCCACGAACCCACTACTATCCAAATCATTGTTATCTGATGTTTTAAGGAGTAGCAAGTTGTTAAAGGTTTTGGATTTGAGTGATCAAGAGACACAGGAGGAAATACCAAATGAGATTTTCAAGATGTTTTATCTCAAGCATCTAGACCTATATGGTACAAGAGTGGAGAGAGTCCCGAAAGGCATTGGAAAGCTTCAACATTTGGAGTATCTGAATTTGGGAAACACTGGAGTTAGGGAATTACCCATGGAAATCCTAAAGCTGCAAAAACTTCGATTTCTCAGAGTATATCAACCAGCTGATCCTTCAGATGATGACTACGGAGGTCATGGATTTAAAGCTCCATCGAATATGGGAGGGCTTCGTGGCCTAGAAATATTAAACCGCATAGATGCAAGCAGTGGATCTAAAATAGTTGAAGAGATAGGAAAGCTGACCCAATTAAGAGAGTTATATATTACAGAGTTCAGAAGAGAAGATGGAAAAGTGCTCTGTTCCTGCCTTGCCAACCTCGCCAGTCTTCATAGACTAAGCATTGAATCAATTGGAAATGGTGATGATCATGAGATAATCGATCTAAATCATCATCATCCTTCTCTTTCCTTTTCTTCTTCTTGTTCGTTTCTTCAATCTCTTCGTATGCTGATTTTACGTGGCCGCTTAGAAAAGATGCCACAATGGGTAGCTCGTCTTCACGGCTTGGTAAGAATAGATTTGAATTGGAGCAGGTTAAGTGGCGAGGAGGATCCGCTTGAATCCCTCCAACATTTGCCCAATTTGGGAGAAATTAACTTCTGTGGATCTTACCAGGGAGAAGGGTTGTGCTTCAAGGCTGGAGAGTTCCTAAAGCTGAAACGGTTGCACTTAAAGAGAATGGAAGGGTTGAGATGGATGAGAGTGGCAGAGGGTGCATTGCCTCGCCTTCAAAAACTATTCCTGCAACAACTTCCATTACTAGAGGAGTTGCCTATGGGTATTCAGCATTTGATCCAGCTTCAACGGCTGAATTTGTATGAGATGAGTCCTCAATTGAGAGAGAAGCTATTAGAGAATCAGATGGAAGAAAGTGAAGATTACACAAGAATCGCACACATTCCTGAAATTCTCATTGGTTACTATACAGATGATAGGAAATGGAGACGCCTCAGCCTGTGGGAGGAGAAGAAGAAAACATATAATCTTTCCTAGCAAGCAGCAGTAGCAGCAGCAACAGCAACCGTGGCTTCCCTTTCTCTGGTTTGCTTGCCCTCCCTGTTGTGGAATGTGGACGACATTCCCTCTTCTTTTTTTTTGGGTGTCTTATCTTATTTATTGTATATTGCGTGATGTTGTTAGTGACTTGATGTACTGTGTATTACTCTTTTTTTTCTTGATTTTTTTAATTGATTTAGGAAATGATCAAGAGGTAGGCTGGTTAGAAATGTATTGATAATATCTGCTAAAAATAATTGAATATATTTCTATAATTAATGGAGTTATTTTGAACTCTATAAATAGAGCATTGTGTATGAATCTTAAAAATAAAATAAAATCTTGTCATTTGCTTCTCTTATTATTTTTCTCAATAATTGTAACAATGGCATCAGAGTTAGGTTCGTGAGTAAAAACAAAAGTGAATTATGAGAATTGTATTGGTAAATTGCAATGACCACCGACAACTTTGTGCAGTCAGCAATTCCTCCTTTTGATGGTCACTATGATCATTGAAGCATGCTAATAGAGAACTTCTTGAAATCCAAAAAGTATTGGTATGTTGTCGAATCTGAATTAGTAGAGCCAAAAGCCGGAATAGTATTTTTAGAGGTGCAAAAAACGGAGTTAGAAGCATTGAAACAGAAAGATCATAAAGCCAAAAATTACCTTTTTCAAGCTATTAATCGAGCCATCTTGAATACAATTCTTAACAAATATATCTCCAAACAAATTTGGGACTCCATGAAGAAGAAGTATCAAGGAAATGCGAAGATAAAGCGGGTGCAGTTTCAAGCTCTTTGGACCGAATTTGAGACTTTACGCATGAAGTCAAGCGAGTCGGTCACAGATTATTTGGCAAGAACGATGGAAATCGCTAAAAAGATGAGGATCCATGGAGAGAATTTGGAGGACGTCACCATTGTTGAGAAAATCCTTCGATCGATGACAGTAAAATTTAATTTTGTTGTATGCTCTATAAAGGAATCGAAAGATATTGATGCACTTTCAATTAATGAATTGCAGAACTCTTTGTTGGTTCATGAGCAAAAAATTAACCAGCAATACAAAGAGGAGAAGCATTGAAGGATTCAATAGAAAGTTAATCAACATGAAGAAGAGGCAGAGACAGATGTAGAGGAAGTAATGATCGTGGTAATCAGTAACAACAATACTAACACCAAGAAAATTAATTTCAAGGAAGAAGAAGAGGATGAGGAGGCCATTAATCAACAATTCAAAAGCCAAAGTCAGCAGACAAGTCTAATATTGAATGTTACAAATGTCATAGATATGGTTATTATCAGTCAGAATGTTGAGCTAATTTGAATAGACAAAATGGTGAAAGGTCTAACTTTGCAGAAAAAGAAGAAGTGTCTCTTTTGATGGTGTGTCACATTAGTGAAGGAACTTGATAAGACATGTAATATTTAGACACCGGTTGTAGCAATCACATGTGTAGAGATAAAAAGGTATTCTCTGGATTGGACGAGTCATTCCATAATACTGTCAAATTTGATGATAACTCTATAATTTTTGTTATGGAAAAATGAAGGGTAATTAACCAAACTAAAGAAAATCCTACTCACACTATCACTGATGTTCTTTTTATTCCTAATTTAAAACCATCCACCAAGTAGTGCGGACCAGTCTTAATTCAAGGTTTCGAAGGGTCCTTAGTGTGGGTCAGTTGTTAGAAAAAGGGTACGAGATTTCTATCAAACATGGAGTATATCGGATTTGAAATGCAAAATTGGGCTTAATTGCTCAAATTAAGATGAAGGCAAATCGTATGTTCCCACTCTATTTGCAAAACTTGACTGATTCATGTTTCTCAACAAAATTGAAAGATGTGGCATGGTTATAACATTTTCATTATGGACATCTAAACTTTGGTGGATTAAAGACATTGCAATAGAAAAATATGATGGATGGTCTAGCCCACATTACAATTCCTTCAGAAGTTTGTGAATAGTGTGTCGTTGCCAAACAATATCGGAATAACTTTTCAAAAGGAAAATCGTGGAGAGCAAAGAACGTATTGGAGTTGGTTCACTTTGATTTATACAGACCCATAATCAGTCATCTAATGGTGAAAAATGTTATTTTATGACATTTATTAATAATTATAGTCGAAAAATTTGGGCCTCTTTTTTGTAGAAAAAATCTATAAGATTTTCAACCTTCAAAAATTTCATGACTCTTATCAAAAAAGAAGCTGGCAAGTTCATAAAATTTTTTCACAGTGATCATGGTGAAAAATATATCTCACAAGAATTTATAAATTTTTGTGAGGAACGTGGAATTCAAAAACAGCTTACAGCAGCCTATACACCACAACAGAATGGTGTTTCAGAGAAAAAGAATCCTACAACATTAAACATGGTAAGAATCATTTTGACAAAAAGTGGTGTTCTAAAAAGTTTTTGGCCTGAAACTATCAACTGGAGCATTCATATACTGAACAGAAGTCTCACACTTGCTGTTAAAAATATGATGCCTGGGGAAGCATGGAGCTGACGGAAACCAACAGTGGATCACTTTAGAATTTTTGGATGCATTGCCTATGCTTATATTCCAGACCAAAAGAGGACAAAACTAGATAATAAGGGAGAGAAATGCATTTTTCTTAGTTTTAATGATGAATAAAGGCTGATAAGTTTTATAATCCTATCACTAAAACAATTGTCATCAGTCGGAATGTAATTTTTGATGAGAAAATTTTTTGCCATGGAGCAACGATGTTATTAAACAAGAAAAATTTTTGCCATGGAGCAACGATGTTATTAAACAACAAATACCTGCTGATTTTAATAGAATTGATGAAGAGAACAGGCAGCAGTTGACAGAATAAATTCTACCAGATGGTCTAAATCATGTACCAAGTTTCTAAATAATAGCAAAAGATGAAGGATGGCCTCAATGTATTAGAAAAAAAACTTGCATGGATAACCGACTATCAGGTAATTGGAATTGATCAATCTGAGAATCTAATTAAATACTTTGTTCTATTTTCTGATTGTGATCCTACAGTTTTTAAAGAGGCTATCAAAATTTAAAGTGACAGAAGGCAATGGATAAAGAAATTACAGCTATTGAATGAAATAACACATAAGAGTTAACCAATCTTTCAGAAGGACAAAAATCAATAGGTGTCAAGTAGGTGTACAAGACGAAATTAAAGGAGAATGGAGAAATTAACAAGTATAAAACACATTTAGTAGTTAAAAGCTATAAACAAGAGTTTGAGGTGCATTATGGAGAAGTCTTTGTTCCATTCACAAGGCATGAAATATTAAAAATAGTGATTGTATTGGTAGCACAACATTCATGGCCTATCTTCTAGTTGGAAGTGAAATCAGCATTTTTACATGGTGACCTACAAGAACAGGTATTTTATCATCAATCTCTTGATTATGTGAAGGTTGAAAGTAAACATAAGGTATACAAACTCAAAAAGACATTATACGGGTTAAAACAAACCCTATGTGCTTGATATAGTCGTATAGATGCTTATTTTTTTAAGAAAAAATTTTAAAAATATCCATATGAGCATACACTTTTTATAAAGATTGGAGACGGAGGTAAATTGCTCATTGTTTACTTATATGTTGACGACCTTATTTTTACTGAAAATGATAGTGCCATGTTTTAGGAATTTAAAAAATCTATGATGTTTGAATTTGATATGTCTGATCTTGGAAAAATGCATTATTTTTTAAGCATTGAAGTGGTTCAACCTGCTGTTGGAATTTTTGTCTCTTAAAGGAAGTATATGTAAGAAATTCTGAAGAGGTTTCAAATGAAGAATTGTAATTCTATTAGTACACCAATTGAAGTGGGTTTAAAAGTCATCAAAGAATCTGAAGGAAAGAGGATTGATAGCACTCTTTACAAGCAAATTGTAGGAAGTCTAATGTATTTGACAGCCACTAAGTCTGATATTATGCATGCTGTAAGTCTTATTAGTAGATACATGGAAAGTCCAAGGGAGACACATCTTCCAGCTGTGAAGAGGATTCTTCAATACTTGCAGGGAATCATTGAATATAGGTTGTTTTACAAGAATGGTGAAAAATTAGATTTATTTGGCTTTACTGACAGTGACTATGCTAGCGATTCTGATGATAGAAAGAGTACGTCTGGCTATGTATTTATGATGGGTTCAACAGCTATTTCATGGTGTTCAAAGAAGCAACCAATTATTACTTTATCAACAATTGAAGCAAAGTACATAGCTGCAATGGCTTATGCCTGTTAAGCAATTTGGCTAAGGAAATATTTTTGAAGAATTGCATTTTTAACAAGAAGGAACTACTACAATTTACTATGATAATAGTTCTGCCGTCAAACTCTTTAAAAATCCAATTCTATATGAAAGAACCGAACACATAGATGTGAGATTTCACATTCTAAGGGAGCTCACAAGTGATGGAATAATTGATTTCTCTACTGTAAAAGTATAGATCAAATTGCTGACATAATGATCAAGCAATTGAAGTTACCTACATTTCAGAAACTAGGAAAATTGCTTGGAGTCTGTGCAGTTGATAAGTCCTATTAAATTGAATGTTTGTAAAACTTTCAGTTTAAGGGAAAGATTGTTAGAAATATATTCAATTATTTTTTAGTTGACCATATTTGTTTATTTTGTTCTACCTAGTTAGTGGAATTAGTGGAGTAACCAGTGGAGTTGGTGAAGTTAGTGGAATAATTAATGGAATTAGTGGGATAGTAATGGAGTTATTTTGACCTCTATAAATAAAGCAGTTGTGTATGAACCTTAAAAAAAACTCTTGTCCTTTGCTTCTCTTATTATTTTTCTCAATAATTGTAACAATATCTACCATTTCATTAAAAACTCTAAATAATAACTTTTCAATTTTGGTCAGAGATAATACATAAACCCAATTTGGTTTGTCCTCACTTCTGCTTGTACAACCTACATTAACAATGGTTTGTCTAGTAAATATACTGAATATTGGATGTACACCCAAGTTTATTATATGACACATTTTACGTGATAGATATCTCCCAATCTGTTCTTTCCTTCCCAAATTTGTCAATGTTTCAATTCACATTACATATGATATGAGATCATTCGTCATTGACTAGTATAATTATTTTGTGCTAATAAACCTACAATGCGTATCACTGTTTCTTAAAAGCATTTTTACACTGAAATTAAAATTAAAATTTCTGCTGTTATTGGTAATTAAAATTAAGAATTGCCCACTTACAACTATATTCACCAATCATTTTCTTCATCTCCAATTATTGTACGTGTTAAAATTATCTTCAATTATTATATTCTTATGAGTGATAAATAAAGCTAACTATATTTTATAAACATATTGGTTTAGAAGAAAATCACAATTAATAAGAAGACAAAGGTTATAAACAATTAATGAGAAAATAAAAAGTTAAATTGATGATTAAAATCACTATATGGATAATCTAAATCTATTATGGAGAATAAACACTCTATGCACTTTGTAGCAAAATAACTGAAGTTATGGAGAATAAACTAAAGCGGTTAGAAGTCACTAAACTGTTTAGTACTAAATCCTAATAAATTCTTCTTACGCAAGACTCTGACTCATAATTGGCTTCTAAATTGCATATTCCAATTTCGTGCATCAACTCAAGACTACAGTTTTATTTGGCAGGTACAATCCCTCCAGAGATTGGTAATCTTTATAACCTGAAACTATTGGCCATGGATTATAACCAGATTATAGAATCTATCCCAAAAGAAAAAAGAATCTGGAATTTGACTCGACTTCAGAGCTCTATCTTGGGCATAACAACTTAACAGGTGTGACAATTTACTGACCACTTCAAGAGAAATGTTAATAAGTTTGCTCTGCTAATGGAGATGGTAACAATTTGAATTCCGATGTATTTCTATTTGATCCTTCTCTAGTCAAGTTAAAACATTAACGAAGCCAGTCTCACAGCCCAGCATCTTCTATTGTTACAAAGAGTTGATTATTCTGGTCCAACATATATATCCTTGTTTTATCTTGAATTTGGCAGGTATAATTATGCAAAAGCTTGGCGGCATTTTAAAGCTAACGTTGTTTAGTCTAGAGAATAACCAGATTGAAGGCTCTATACCAAGAGCTATTGGAAATTTGACTACACTTAAAGAACTATACCTTGGTGTAAACAATTTAACAGGTATGGCAATTGAGAATAGCGATCATGGGACAACTGAAACTTTCCTGATCAAATAAACATGCTTCCGTTTGCAAATGATGTGTTTCTTCAGGATTGCGAAACATTCCATTTTAGGAGTTCTATCTGTTTTAATGTGGTAGGTGTAATTCCCTAGGAGGTTGGAAACCTACAAACATTGGAGATGTTGAACCTAAGATTTAAAAGTTCAAAAGGTTCCATACCAACCAGGATCTTCAACATCTCAACTTTAAGAGTGCTTTCACTTGTTTCCAACAGTCTTTCAGGCAATCTTCCATCCAATATGGGTTTAGGTCTGCCTAATTTAGAAGAACTTTACCTCAGCTCTCATAACCTCAGTGGACTGTTGCACCTGGCTCAATCCCAAACTCCTCTAAACTCACTCATGTAGAGTTTGCTCGAAACAGACTCGCTCGTCCAATTTCTACTGTCTTTGGGAATCTACAATTTCTTGAATGCTTAGTGTTATTTGATAACAATTTAACAAGTGAATCTTCATCGGTGGAGTTAAGCTTCGTCACTGCGTTAACAGAATGCAGATACCTGAGAGAAATTTCAGTGGCTAATAACCCGTTAACTGGTGTTCTTCCAGTTTCTATAGGAAAACTTTCTCCAAAAACTGTTGGCAATCTAAGCAATTTGAGAGTGCTAGATCTAAAAGAGAATCCCTTGCCTAATAGTTTGTGTAGCTTACAGTACTTGAATTTATTACATCTGATTGGAAATCAATTCCTGCAGGTTTAGGTAATCTTACTTCGCTCAGATATCTTTATCTAGCTTCCGACAGAATAACTTCTTATGTGCCTGACAGTTTGTGGAGCCTCAAAGATCTCTTGGGATTTATTCTGTCATCAAATTTCTTGACTGGCTCTCTACCTTCAGAGATTGGACTGTTGAAGGTTGCAACATGGATAAATTTGTTGATGAATCAGTTCTCAAATAACATTCCTAGCAGAATTGGAGATTTAGAAAACTTGAATCATCTTTCTTTGGCATATAACAACTTAACATGCTAAGTTTGGAATATTTGGACCTATCACAAACACTTCAATCTCTCAGCTACTTCAATGTCTCTTTCAATTATTTACTGGGGCAAATTCCATCTAACGGCCCTTTCAAGAACTTTCCTAGTGAATCTTTTATCTCCAATGATGCATTATGTGGATCATCTAGGTTTCACGTTCCAGCAAGCCAAACTCCTTCAATTCACAGATCAAGGACAAAGAAAGTGCTTCAAACTAAATTGATAGCATTTGGAGCTTAAGCAATAATTGCTGGTGTAGCCTTGGCATTTTTGTTCTTTTGATATGTAACAAAGGAAAAGCTTCCTAATGGAACTAATTTGTTCTCCTTGACAGCAAAAGGAAGGATTCGTATTATGAACTCCTACAAGCAACCAATGGTTATGATGAAAGCAACTTACTAGGCACGGGAAGTTTTGGATCTGTTTACAAAGGGATTCTAGCTAATGGAATGTGTGTGGCCATAAAGGTGTTCAATTTACCGTTGGAATATTCATTCAAGAGTTTCACCAGAGAATCTGAAGTCTTACGCAGTCTTAGGCACAGAAATCTGACCAAAGTCATCGGTGTATGCTCTAATGATGGCTTCAAGGTATTAATACTTTATTACTTGCCCAATGGGAGCCTTGACTTGAGAAGTGGTTGTATTCTTACAACAATTGTTTAAGTATCATCCAAAGAATGAATATGATGATAGATGTGGCATCAGCGTTGGAGTACCTCCATCATAGTTACTCAATTCCCGTTGTTCACTATGATTTGAAGCCAAATAATGTCCTTCTAAATGAAGATATGGTTGCCTGTGTGACTAATTTTGGTGTTGCAAAAATATTGGCCGGTGAGAAGAACACTGCCTACACCAAGTCTCTAGCTACATTTGGCTACATTGCACCAGGTAAAGCTCCAATTACTTCCAAATACTTCCATTTTGTTTCTTAGAGATTTAAACTCAAAATTTCTATTATAATTGTGTGAAAATGTGATCCATTGAACAATTTCCACTTTAGAGTATGGATTGGAAGGACTAGTGTCAACAGGATCTGAAATTTAGCTACGGAAGCATGCTGATAGAAGTTTTCGCTAGATTGAAGCACATTGATGAAATGTTTTCAGATACATGTCTAAGGAACTGGGTAAAAAGTCGTGTGCCAAATGCACTATCTCAGGTAGTAGATGCAAACTTGCTCAAGCCAGGTTATCAACACTTTACTGAAAAGTTGGAGAGCATAACGTCTATTGTGTGAATAGCTATAGCTTGCACAGAAGATTCTTCCAGGGACAGGATGAATGCTATGGATGTTCTTGCTTCTCACGTACTGCGAGGCAACTTAGAAAATTGTTTACCCAAAATAAGGAAATTCATGTCTTAGAAACCGACTTTATGTCCATTCTTAGAAATTGACTTCTTCCTCTCTGACAATTTTTCTTGTTTTCCCTGACTTCCTACGTCATCATTCTCCTCCTCAAGTACATGACCAAAAAACTAGAACTAGGAAGTTATGTAAGCATGCATCTATTATTTTTCTTGATCTGCAGGTCTTCAACTTTGTTGACTTGAACCAATAGTGTAAGTCCTGCATCAGAGTGTGGAACGATGAGACACATTACCTTGTCTCCTTGCGAGCATGGTGGACATTGATTCATTATCATCCCTTCCATGATATCCTGATACATGTTGTTTAGTATCTCTGGTCCGTCCACCTCAAGATTCGTGACCATCAATTTAACAAGGGTTATGCAGACTTCATGCAATTCAAGTGAATATTCATCCAAGGTTGGTCTGGACAAATGCAAATCTAGCACACCACTGTAGGGATATATAGAGTTACAAACTTCCTAATATTGATACTTCATCCAGGAAACACACTTGAATTTGGACAACTAAACACCACCGCCGATATAATCTTAGGAATCTGGATCAATAACATGCAACTAGAAACTTCCATAAAGGCATATAGGTGATTCATTAAGCTTGGTTTATGATGAAGATTTAAAAAAAAATAGTAATACCGCAAGTGAAAATATGCTAATTCTTTCACTTGTTTATCCTCAGGTGATCCAGTAAGCTTTTGCCATCAAGTTTGCTACTTAGATGCGGTCTGAGAAGGCCCTCAATTTCTATTGTATTGTATTGTGCTCCAATTTCTTTGACAAGATCTACTAGAGGACCAACTTTTGCTATGAAATTTGTTCTGTGAAATGCAGCAATTGAAAGTCTTTCTTTGCAGAAATCCACAATAGCTCTATGCTCAATGATGCTATATTCCCCTCAAGTGAAAATAGTAATACCGCAAGTGAAAATATGCTGATTCTTTCACTTGTTTATCCTCATGTAATCTAGTAAGCTTTTGCCATCAAGTTTGCTACTTAGATACAGTCTGAGAAGGCCCTCAGTTTCTATTGTATTGTATTGTGCTCCAATTTCTTTGACAAGATCTACTAGAGGACCAACTTTTGCTATGAAATTTGTTCTGTGAAATGCAGCAATTGAAAGTCTTTCTTTGCAGAAATCCACAATAGCTCTATGCTCAATGCTGCTATATTCCCCATTGCTCATTATCTGCACAAATTATTGAAGCACAGCAACTCAATGATATCTATAGATGCTCAGTAAGTAGGAGTTTGGTTTTGGTGATCATTTATCACCATAATATCACCGATATTGATGATGATTGCTCCGGGAATGGGTTTAATATGCAACCATGTGTTGCTTTTCTTGATTTGCAGGCTTTGAACATCATTGACTTGAATTAATAAGGTCAGTCCTGTTGCATCAGACTGAGGAGTCAGGCCAATAACTTTGTCTGCTTGCTGGCAAGGTGGATAGTAATTCACATTCTTATTCCTTGTATGCCATCTTGATAGATGCTACATAATTTGTCTGGGTCTACACCAAGATTCGCCCCAATAAGTTTAAACAGGGTCATGCAAACCTTGTGCATTTGAAGTTAGTATTCATCCATGGTTGCTCTGACATCATCAGAAATTTGTAAATTAGCGTTGAGATGAATTTTTCTTACACAATTTTCAAGTTTTTGCCACCTAAGTAAAGTAATCCATGTAGCTTTCCAATGGAAGCAAAAGATGTTTCCTTTTAAAGAATCTTTGTTTTACAATTGCGTGAAAAATAGAGGATAAATTCCCATGAGAAATGGGAAATTCTGTAAGCAGAGAAGCTTGACAAAAAAGGCTAGCCTTTTGAGAAAATATAAGAGCAGCATAATATTACTGCAGAAGTAGGAAAAGATTGTGATACTCTATATTATTCATTGTCTACCTGAAAGATGTTGGAGTCATAGGCCAAAATCTCATATTTCTCTGAGAAACTGGCAATGCACGGAGGAAAAGCATGTCCCCCCAGTCAATCTTTTGATCCTCTGATACCACAAATATTTGACCATATCATTCAACATCATTTGGTAGTTGTGCATAGGCTGTCTTCTGCTGTAATAGCAGCTTAAAGAAGTCCTCCATCACCAACTTCATTTTCTCAATTACTGTGGTAGTCCCATGATTAATTAGCTGTGCAAGATTGAGTCACGTACTGTTAGTCGCTACTTTACTAGGAAAAATGATTTGCGTATCAGATCATTACGAGTTGTATAATTAGGATTCTATATGTGATGGATTCTCTTGATTTGTTACCTGAAGAAGCCCCAGTCTTTACAAGCCCGATGAAGTTTTGCCATTTCATTCTGGCTTCCTGAATGATCAGCTGCAAGCTTTCCCATGTTGATGAATCTGTGATGCCTCATTCGTAGAAACTTCATCAAGCATTATTTCAGGCCTGATGTATCAATTAGGGGATTTCTTTAGGGCAATTAAAAGCTAGTTCTTAGACATTCTCCACAGGGAGAGAACCACTAAGGTCCCTTCTTGTTTTGGCCATCTCAGTTTCCATTGATATCAATGTCTCAATATCAAATTGTGTTGACTTTTTGGCATAATCATTTATCCCACATCGGTGGGTTTAAAGTTTGGGGGAGTGTTTGAGAGTTATAAATTAACACTCTCCCTTCCCAATTAAAACACATCAAAATTTTATATTCTTTCTTCTCCCAAATTAATAAGAGTAGGTTGCTTAGGTGGTGCTCAGAGATTAGACACATTTGGTCAAATTTCGTTATAAATTTCGGGTGTGTTTTTTTCTTATCTTTTTTATTTATTACGCATTTAGTTGATAGTTTTTTTTCGATTGTAGTATAGAAGGGTTTATTTACAGTATTTTTATGTGGTTCATTTGGGTGTATTTTCTTATTCGTATATATTTACTGTTTATGTATATACTGGTCTGGTTCTGATAATACACCATGCATGTAAATTCTGTCATAGGAGACTAGATTTTAAGTGGAATCGCATGTGGCTCCTCTAGCCTTTCGTGAAAATTTATTTGGAGTGGTAATTCTATCTTAGGAGATCGTTTGGCAATCTTTCTTGGGAATTACTGAATCGATTTAATTTACTAGTTGTATCATTTGAGTGAAAAATTACCCTTTTTTTCCCAACATTACCAAATGACATAAAAGAGCAGGAGTAGAGTACCATAAATCGGTTGACATGCGAAACTAATCAATCGTGTTTGTTCAGAGAGCAAAAGTATACTTTCAAGAACGAGACTTCTGCACGAAAATTATAGAAGACGTTGGAGGAGAAATTTTTTAAGAAGAGTGATCAAAATAAACTCCTTATAAAGAAAAGGTTGTTCCCATTCAATTACCGATCAGGTACTACTATGAATGAATACATCACTATGTTTAATCAGTTAGTAAATTTAGACGTGAAATTTGAAGATGAAGATTTGACTTTGATGTTGTTGTCATCCCTTCCTAATGAATTTGAACGTTAGGAGACTACGTTATTTCATGAAAAAGAGAATGTGTCTTTAGATGCTGTATATTCTACTTTGTATAATCATGAATTAAGAAAGTAAGATAAAATGAAAAACAAAATAGCTACAGTAGATAAAGCGTTAGTGGCAAGAAGTCATCAGCAAAGCCAATCAAAAGGGAGAAGACGAAGATCCAAATCGAAAAACAAAGTTGTCAAAGATGAGTGTGGTTTTTGTCATGAGAATTGGAAGAAAGACTGTCCAAAGTTGAAAAAGACAGGGAAAGCTCTGCAAGACGCCAGTGTTGCAGAGTGCAAAAGTGATATGAAATCAGATTTCTCTTTGATAGTATCACCTTTAACATCCCATCCAGATGAGTGAATTTTGGATTCACGTTGCACCTACCATATGTCTCCCATGCGAGAGTGGTTCTTTGAATTTGAAGAACTTGATAGTGGAGTTGTTTACATGAGAAATGACAATCCATATAAAACAGTTGTGATAGGTTCAATCAAATTGCATAATCATGATGGATCCACCAGAATCTTAAAGGATGTTCGGTGCGTACCAAATTTGAAGAAGAATCTCATCTCTTTTGGAGGCTTGGAATCAAAAGGTCTGGTTGTCATAATGCGAGATTGAATTCTTAAAGCAACTTTGGAAGCACTTGTGATGTTGAAAGGCGAAAGAAAAAATAATATATATTACTACCAATGTAGTACAGTTGTTGGGACAGCAGTAGCAACAACATCTTTCAGTAGCAAGAAGGATACGGAGGCAACAAAGTTGTGGCACATACTGTTGGGACATGCTAGTAAAAAATTCTTGCAAAATCTAGCCAAGCAAGGATTGTTGAAAGGTGTAAAACCTTGCAAATTAGAATTTTGTGAGCATTGTATTCTGAGAAAACAGAGAAGAGTGAAATTTGGCACTGTCATTCGTAATACTAAGGGTATTTTGGATTATGCACACTCAGATGTGTGAGGACCTGCCAAGACTCCATCCCTTGGAGGCAAGTACTATTTTGTCACTTTTGTTGATGATTTTTTCAGAAGAGTTTGGATGTTTACTATGAAAAATAAGGATGATGTGCTAGTGATTTTTCTTAAATGAAAAGCTCAGATTGAAAACCAGACGGAAAGAAATATCAAGATTTTTCGAACAAATAATGGTGGAGAATACAAGAGTGATCCCTTCCAAGAGATATACCAAGAATGTGGTATAATTCGACACTTCACAGTCAGAAGAACACTGTAGTATAATGGGCTGTCAGAAGATATAAACAAGATACTAGTGGAGAAAGTTTGTTGCATGTTGTTTAATGTTAGGTAAGACAGAAAGTTTTGGACTGATGCTGTGACATACACTCAACATCTCGTCAATCGCTTCCCATCATTTGCAATAGGTAGCAAGATTTCATTAGAGGTATGATTTGAAAAACCTGCAACAGACTATGATTCTTTACATATTTTTTGTTATACTACATATTATCATGTAAATGAATCAAAATTGGATCCACGTGCAAAGAAGTCTCTCTTTATGGGTTTCAACACTGGAGTTAAGGGATACCGTTTGTGATGTTTAGAAGCAAAGGAGACCATTATCAGCAGGGATGCTACCTTTGATGAATCTGCCATATTGAATAAGTAGTACAAGATGGGACCAGTGGTACTCCGCAACAGGTGGAGGGTACATCGAAGTAGGTAGAGTTTGAGCAAATAATAGTGAGCCCAGCAAA